CCGGATGCCGCCAACCATGTATGTGTACCCCACGCAGAGGCTGACGTTGCATTCATGATGCTTCTTCACCGCAGTTGGGTTAAACCAGTTTACAATTAATCTGGGTCTTTTTAAGCTGGATAAATTTTATTCCGCTTTAATTTGTTTGTTCTGAGTACATGAGTAATCCTCTATTAACTGGCCACGTTGCTTAAGCTAATTGTGGTTAACATCGTTAATTTTAGTCCGTTTGCAGCATTTGTTGACCAACTTGCGGACATGTTGTCCTTATCGCGTATTGGTTGCTAACCAACTTATTTCATATGCTAATTTAGTGCAGAAATATGTCTGCATAGCTGTACGCTTTAAAAGATATACAACTTGGATAATGTTATTTCTAGTGATTGGCTGTTCTCTGACATCCCAGGTGTGGCTGCGTTTGATGTGCATGTTGACAAGGTTGTCCACCTGTCTATTGCCCACTACCTCCTTCACACTGGCTCTAGCAGACAGTTGGTCGTTGCTGGAGAGGACGAGGTGCACGGTCCTTGTGGTCGTGCTACGCTCAAAGAGTGGTTCCATGCACTGAGTGGGCAGCAGACTACGGTCCAGCCAACGCCCAGTGTGCGACTGATTCCCAAATACAGTGTGCTTGTGTTTGCCTGTGAAGGAGTGTGGGCCGGAATAGTACATGTTTCATATCACAATGCAGTGGATTCGTTCGACGCAATCTAAGTCACGGTAAAAAGATTAAAAAAGGTAAACGGTGAAGGAAATGGTAAATCCACAACCTCGTGTGCCCAAGAATGTGTTCGGAATCTAGGTAAGTGCTTCAGATTGATCAACAGGCTTCCCATCACGTATCTTACAGCAGTGATCAAGTTGAATCTAGGGATGTCTAGCAGCATGGGTGTCCAAATATCCTAACCATGGATGTTCGTATGGTCAACCTCAGTTACCTACATATTAGGAGTTCATTGAGCTCGCTGAACCAATGGACTTCAACGACTGTGCAAACTTTTGTGTGGTCGGAGTACAACAGATGCCGGTTTGAAAACGTCCAAGTGAAGCTTATTTAGATTTGATAAAAGTTCTACTCAAGGGCTCATATGTCAGGCAGCGAGAGCAAGATTTGTTTCTATTCATACGGATGGGGCGCAGCAGTCAGCCCCTGCAAGTCAACTTTTATAATATCCAGGATAATGACAATAACAGTATTGGCAGAAGCCAAGGGTATCGATGAGTAGCGATGAGCAGAATCCCTAAGCAATTACATAACACTGCGTAACATTTTTATAACAAAATGAGATAGAAGGTTGCTAGTAATACCAAGGGAGCTGATTTCGAATATGCAAACAAAATATTTCTATCACGCCGGGTTTTTTCATCTTCCATTTTTCAGTTCAGCTAAGCAGTATGTTTCATGCATCGAATGTGCGCCTGTGATTGGTTCATTGGCTCACTGTAATCGCGGAAAAGAAGTCCTTTTGGCCATGGTATCCACCTAATATTGAAAGTCGATTGAGAGCTGCATTTCCTTAATTGATATATTGATCATGGCTGAAAGACGCTACTGTGTAAATGACCAAAATGATTTTTGTTACGTCTGTGAACATTTTACTACAAAGTCGCATTGCAGACGCATTTCTTCATTACTGATGTCGGACTACCGTCCATATTTCGGGATGTAACTGAGAGACCAGATTAAGAAGTGGACGCCGCATTTTGTTTGTGGGTCGTGCAATCTTCATCTAACTCAGTGATTCAAGGGCAAAGGTAAGATGCCCTTTGCAATTCCCATGGTGTGGAGGGAGCAGAAGAACCACACGATAGACGGCTATTTCTGCCTAACCAGTGTCATTGGAATCTCCAACCGAAATAAGGACAAAATTCAATACCCCGATCTTCCATCAGCAATTCGACTCGTTCCGCATGATTACACCTTACCCATTACAGGGCCTCCAGTGAACAAGTCACTGATGAGGAGTAGTGATTCTGAATCGTCAACTTCCCCTGATTATGAAATCTGTGAAAATTTTGAAGCTGACGTTGTCAACCCGCATCTTATTGTACAAGCAGAGGTGAAGGAATTGGCACGTGACCTGGACTTGCCTAAAGACAAAGTCAAGTTGCTGACACTCCAGCTGCAGCAATCGCACTTACTTGCTGCAAACAGTAAGGTCACTGTATACGGAAAGTGAAGTGTCAAATTGTCCGGTTTCTATGACACGATAGAAACCTTTTGTCACTGTTCCGACGTAGAAGGACTGATGAAGGAGCTTGGCGTCAAGCATATCAGTGATGAATCGCGTTTGTTCATTCACTCGTCCATGGCCATACTGCTCCACAGTGGAAATATGTGTACCCAACTGTGCCTCTGTTGCATGCCAGTATGAAGGAGAGTTACGAGTGTGCAACAGATACTCGCTGCACCAAACTATGATAAGTACTGTTGGAACATCTGTGCTGACTTCAAAGTCATTGGACTCCTAAAGGGTATGCAAGGAGGCTTCACAAAATAGTTCTGTTCCTTGTGTTTATGGGACAGTAGAGCAACTCAACAGCATTACAAACCGAAAAGTGGCCAAAGAGGACGGAGTGTACTGCAGGGAAAATGAGTGTAAAGCAGACACCTCCATTGCAACCTGATCATATCTATCTACCAGCCCTGCACATCAAGCCTGGTTTGATTAAAAACTTCGTCAAAGTCCACAAGCGAGATGGTTTTGCGTTTCAGTACCTAAAACAAATGTTTCCGATCAGTGATGCGAAGCTCAAAGATGGGATACCTATTGGGCCTAATATTCGCCGGATAATGGCAGTGTTTTCGAATGCTAGTTGACCTCATTTGAGGCGATCATTTAAGGTAGTGTGTACAGGGATTTTGGGCAGAACAAAGGCAGAGAACGGCAAAAATATCACAGAAAAGCTCATTGCAGACTATCGAGCTGTTGGTGCTCAAATGTCACTCAAGATGCACGTTTTGCATAATCACCTCGACTTTTTTCCTGAGAACTTTGGGATCTGTTAGCGATGTGCATGGTAAGCGCTTTTACCAAGACATTTGAGTCATGAAGTAGCGCTACAGTGGCAAGTACACACCTTCTATGATGGGTGACTTACGCTGGTTTCAGCAGCGTGAAGGCGCTGGATCATACAAGTCATCATTTCCCAGTGCCAAGCTGTAGTCAGTAGTTAGCGGCGAGGGTGGCAGTGATGTTTTAAACGTATTTGCCACATAGACGCATTCTGCATATGTTGTGATTCAGTACATTTATATATAATTCGTACAACGTAATCTTGACAATACTGAAAATAATCATTCGCTAATAACAATGTGACCTGACTTGCTGGGTAACATCGGAATACATTTCTACGGTCAGTGGAGTGTATTCTATAAGGTAGACATTTCCGTTAGAGTAAAAAATCTTTTCTGTCGCACAGTGTAATTAGATGGCACACGCAGCATTTTATCAGGAGCCATTCAAGACCACAGTCAGAGCTTTAGATACCGTGCAACGACTACGGTGCCCGCTTCAAGAAGGGCGAAAATGTCGCCGTCACAACAAGAATCTGAGCTACAAAGCTAATGGTATATGTATGCTTTGAAAAGATAGCACATATGAACTCCGAAAGAAAACCAATTTGAAAGTAAGCAGGCGTTAATGCCATTACACAGATTCCCGGGTCGTGTGTTGTTTTCGTGCCCGGAGTCTGAATGGAAGAAGAGGAGGGGAAGCCACGCGATGATTTGGTCGAGAGGAATGCAAACCCTCACATCAAAATTGGCGTCGGGTGGTGTCTCCTGACCGCCGGGCTGGGGTATGAAAGACGATGAACACGTTTGGTTGGATACATTAGTTGAGATGTAGGAGAGTCGACCACAATGGCAGATGTGTTGTGAGTCACTTTGTTTCAACGTCCCCTTTTAACTGTACCCTCCAATAACGACCTCATCATCATCACCACCACCATCATCATCATCACCATCAGCATCATCATCAATACATGTCGGGTGAGGGTGAGAGACACGCCACAGCTAATGTCCCGCAATACGAAAAGATAAGGCACTAAAAAGTAAACTGCAAAAAATTCCAAAGCAAGTAATATAATGTTGAATATCGTATGAGATCGGAAGCGGAGGAATCTAAAAAGGAAGGCGATGGATAAAGAAACTCACAACACAAACGCCATTGGTACAGGCTCTTCGCTATATCAGCAAATGTGTCCAACCGAACGTGTTCATGGTCCTTGGGACCCCAGCCCGGCAGTCGCGACGCACCAACCGACGCCAAGTTCGAAGTGAGGGCCTTCATTCCTCTTGATCAATTCATCGATTGGTCACCCCTCCTCTTCTTCAATCCACATCCCTGGCGCGCAAACAACATACGACGCAATAGTTGGCCCAGCCATCGGAGCCTGGTGCATGATATAACCTCATAACCAATACACAATATGATAGTTAGCATTATGTTGCTTTGTCAGATTTGTAATCTGTAATACTTAGTATCTTACCGTTTTGTACTGCGGCACATTAGCTGAGGTGTTTCTCACTCTCGGCTAACGTGTTTTGATGAGGAAGCATGCTTTAAGCGAGCTGATGTAGCGCTCGAGTGCTGAAAAACGAGTAGAAGACCTGGCAGTCTAAATGATATTTTGCTCTACTGCAGAAGCGAGAAAATTCAGTAAAGTAACAAGCAGACATCTAGTGTAGTGATCATATTCAAACGTGCAACTTATACGACTAGTCGCACCGAGTAGCAGTACAGAAACACCAAGCAGCGGCCTCTGTCAGGTTGCGGCAACCCAACTGAACTTGTTGATTACAGGGTGAATCAAGTGAAAGGCAGATTATAATAGGAGATCATCGGGTGGTCACACTACAAATGTGATCCACAGTGAACTGAAAAAGTCCATGTGTGCTTACCATGCAGTGGAGGTAGACTATAAAATAATGGAACGCAATGAAGTAATAAACGAGAAGAAAACAGACCAAATAGTCTTCTCAATGGGTCACTCACCCAAGCTTGACGCGGCACAAATCGAACGCGATTTCTCGATAAGAGGCGGCTTTTCCGTCCAAATACTTTGCGTAGGGCCGAACAAATGCGAGAATACCATGAGCTGTGAGAACGCGTACAAATACGAAAAGCGAATGAAAGGGTTACGCATTGCCTTGAATAAAATACATTGAAAAGTACTAGCTTTATTGGCTGGCTTACCGAACTACCTCTAAGTGGTTCTAGCTGGGTGGGTCGGGTTTATCCCGTTCCAGAAAATGTTTCAGCAGCAGTGTTCCAGGACGTGGCGAGTTCTCGCCTGGCAAGCATTTTCCCTAAGAAGAGCCACATGTGTTCGATTAACAGCAGTGTGACGTTGCGGAGATGACTCGCTATTAACTGGAGTCACTGCTCCTTGCGCCACTCTGGTGAAGCACCAACTTGTTGAAATGGTGAGAAGCATTGGGCCCTTCTCTGACAACCGATCAAATAAAAGGTGTATGAACTGAGCAATGTCACCGGCTTCCATTAGGCGCGACTCCCTGAATTCGCCCCACTGCCTTGCCGGTAGGCAATTTAGCCGAAGGCTCGGGGTGGTGTCCCCTCAGCCAACTTCCTGTTTGGGCTTGGGCAAAAGAGTAATAGCAAGCCCTCTGACAAAAAACCATGAACTGTTGCACACTGTGCCTATTTGCTACTGTTTCTGTTTATTACGCTCACGCGACTTCATTCCATACCAGCCGGTTCTTTGTTAACCATTATTGTTACCCAGTACCTGATTCCTGTGTTTAATGATTTGCCGTGATTCCGGTTGCCCCGAGAACCATAGATTTCAACCTGTGGTCTTCCTTCGACCCAGGTCCTGGTTCCGTCTGGCGGGCTTCGACGTTCGGACACTCATGCAAATTGGACAGTAAGCCGGTCTAGCGCGCACATTGGAGTTGCTTGATGTAGACGTCTGCTGTCTTTCTGAAACCCGATTGCAGGACTCCAGCACCGCGCTTACGCTGACATCTCCAACCAACCACAAAGCCAGATATCACCTTTTTCTTTCTGGAGACGCAGAAACAGTCCCAGTAGATTTGGCTGGCGTAGGCATGGCATTAGGTGGCAAGGCCGATGCTGCACTGCTAGACTGGTTCCCGAGTAACAGCCGACTGTGTGCAGTTCAGCTTGGGGTCTATGTAAAATCCACAGACATAGCGAGGAGAAGCGCAGATGGTTTGTGTTTCCAGCGTATGCCCCAAGCTACTGCAGTAGTGGCTTAGTCAGAAACGACTTGTATCGGGAGCTTTATCAGTTCTAGAGTAACGCTACCAAATCGGATGTCGTTGTCCTAGCTGGGGATTTCAATGCACAGGTAGGCCGTTTGTTACCATACGAAGGCCAAATTAGCGGCCACCATGCGCTCGATGAGTACCGCTCGGATAATGGGGAGACTTCGCAATTTGTGAGAAGAAAATTATCAGTACTTCTCGAGCACAAAATTCCGGCATACGAAGTAACGTTCGGCATCTTGGCGTTCCCCAACGCCAACACAAGACTGGTCTCAAATTGATCACACTGCAATCAGTTGCAGATGGGGTGGCACCGTACGGGGCTGCAGGTCATTTTTTTCCACCTTCATTGACTCAGAGCCTGCGGTAGTCAGCGCAAAAATCAGTATGTTTTTGGGGGTCGTCAAGAACGAAGCAGTGCAAGATTGATGCGAACGCAGCAACTGATTCCTTGGTCCTTGCGAGCTATCAGTCATGGCTGGCAGACACACTCAGTTGAGGAAATAACAACAACACAGGACATGTATACAGAAGGTGATGATCACTTCGGGACAATCAAACTGCGGGGCAGCGCGACACCCCTTAAAGGCTTGCATCTCTGTTCGCTCTCTACAGCGTTGCGACTGCCGCAGAGAAATCTCGGCAGAATCAGATTACAACGAGACTGGCGCCACTCTGCCAACCAGCAGCTCAAGCAAAGCCTGAGCATGGACTGTGAGGCTTGGTGGTCCAAGCGTGCTTTGGAGATGGAGATCACTGTCCTCGCCGGCAACACTCAGAAGCTTTTCCAACTCATTCGGTTTACTGACCTCAGGAAGCCTGGTGTCAGTGAGGTCGTTTGCGAGGCGGATGAGTCTCCGATCACGAGCCAGCAGTGATGTTTGGACCATTGGACCGAGCACTTTTACTCAAAATTCAACTGGCATCCATCGACAAGCACACCATGTTGGTCACCCTGGCTCATCCTACTAGATTCACCCAGGGAAGCGGAAGTTTGCCTTAGGATTCGTCGTTTGAAGTGATTCAGGGCTGCCGGCCCAGACGGACTTCCTCCGGAGCTCTTCAGTTACGGCAGTGTAGCAATCATTAACCAGTTCACCTCGTTGTTGGAAAATAGACAACATGAAGCATAGGTGCCTTCCTCCTAGGGCGAATCAGTTATTGCCACGATTTTTAGAAAGGTGCTCGCACTTCATGTGTCAATCATCGCAGAATTAGTCTTATTTCGGTTACCTCCAAGCTATTCGCATCCATACTGATTCGTAGATTATCCCCAATACGTGAATCATATTACCATGAAGAACAGGCTGGTTTCCATCCAAGCAGTGGGTGCGTGGATCAAATCTTCACGTTCCGCTAACCCCTCGAACATTGCCACATTCACCACATGCATTCCTGGACATACGGGCTGCATTCGACTCGGTTGATCGACCTGCTTTATGGCGTTGCTTGCTGAAGAAGGGGGTGCCAGAGAAGTATACCGCTATCCTACGCACACTTTCCCTTCATATCTCCGGCAGAGTGAGTCTACGAAAAGCTTTCCTTGTTCTTCGCTGTTGACAGCAGTGAGCGACAGGGCTGCTCTATGTCCCCATCCCACTGCAACACTACATTCGAGGATGTCCTGTCGACAACTCAGAAGCTTTTCAAAACCTTGGCCCAGTATTTCTGCCGCGTGAGCAAGCGACTGACATAGACTATGCTGATGAGATCGCCTTGGTAACGACCCACAGGGTAAGCAACTCATTTAGGATCAGTTTGCATCGGAAGCATTTAAGTATGGTATGAGCTTCGCCCCATCGAAGTGTAAAGTGTTGCTCCAGGATTGGCGCTCAACTGTTCCCGTGCTCAAGTTTAAAGGTGTAAAACTTGAACAGTTAGATAGTTTCGTTAAACTTGGAAGCTGTTTCTGCCGGCGGCACTATCAGCAAGGATGTTTCTCTCCGCATCGCTAAACCCTGATCAGTATTTATCAATATGAGGCAATTGCGGTGTCTTGGAGACCTGGCCATCTCTATAAAGAGCCGCTTTTACAGTGCCTCTATTCATACAATTCGTTGAATGGGACCGAGTCACGGTCAATACGCGTGAAGTACATGCAACGTCTTTCCGCCTTTGACACCGATCGTTTGAGGAGGATTGTTCGCGTGTGGTCACAACACCGAGTTCACGTGATGAGGTTCGAGGTCGTGTCTTGGGGAATGCGAGTATTCCCTTTTACAAGCTGGTTTTGCTGCGTCTGCTGAAATAGCAAGGTTACGCCCAACGCATGGTGACTGAACGTTTGCCACGCCGCGTTTTGTTCGATCGTTCAGGACTAAGCTGAAGGCGACTGCGCGGTGGTCAGCCCCCCACATGGCGAGAGCACATGAAACAATTGACGTCACGTCCGGACCCGTACGGCACCTGGATAGCGACCCAAGGATGAGGAGTGCTAGTGACTTAACACGATTAAAGACATGGCGCACAAACCGAATAAATGAAAGAACTGTGTACATAATCGTACTGAGTAATATGGTTAAAACCTCAAATGTTGGAAATGACAAAAACTCGATGTGTGGAAAACAAAATGTTTTCGTTAGTTCCATTTGTATCAGATTAACTTATTTCAGATTTTCTTGGCTTTTGTTCGATGACTCCAAGTGCAATTTTTGAGGCATTACATATATATATATATATATATATATATATATATCGTTATTGTGGGTATTGATTCAAGTTTCAAAGTGGTTGAAAAAATGAGGGGGTTTAAAACTGCGAATAGGATTTGTATTGCATTCATGGACAACTGGAAACAGGGAAAGTATTATTCGTAATATGGCAGCAAAATTACCAATCAGCAGATTACCAATGCATATTCTGATCTCCGAACAAAAGCAAGTGACGGCACCGCTGTAGTAACAGAACGCGGTGCGAAAATGGGTGACAGTGGAAGGAGTTCCTGGATGTAATGAACTACTTAACGAAGAGAAAACATTCGAGACTGTAGGAATAGATGGGTCAGGGATTGAATAATCGTTAGTGACGTCGACTAAGAGAACATACCTGGTAGGAAGAAAAGTCGGGACTTTGGTTCGCTGCTGCGCTGAGGCATCTCAAGGAACTGATTACAAGTTGTTAGGTGTGAAAGTGGGACATTGCATGAAAGCATGCAAGTTGACTAACATAGGTGGATTAGCGAAACAGTCAATACAGTGCACTCATGGCATCCTCAATAAAATGAGAAGCACGAAACGTACAAAACCGTCAACAGAGCACTGCCCGCACAAGGCGGTCAAGTGCAACTATAGGAATGGTATGCCCATTCCTGAACGATAGGGTCGGATCCAATGGAATGTTCTAAAGATTCAGTGGAAGCACCCTATAGGCCACCTGAAAGCAGGATGGGAACAATAAAAACAGGACAGAGGTCCTAGGAGTTGAGATTATGTGAAGGTGCGTATGGTCTAAAACTAAGTGAGTAGATATAGAGAAAAAAGAATATAAAAGATGAAAACCGCGGTTAGTACCGCTTGAAGGATGTATATATTTATATCTACGTAATGCACAATCTGTGGTACAGATATTGTGCCATCGGAATCACGGCAGAATAGGAAAACAGGATGAATAATAAGTAACGACCAACAACAACAAAAGCTCTTTTTGTCTAGTTTACCACTCAGTTTTCGAATTTGTTCAGTTTGTTCTTTTTTAGGGGGAAATAAAGGGACACCGCAACACACCAATGCACACGTCCGCCAATGACATCGATCTCGAGCCATGGCTTCCAAGGTCTTCAACCAGCAAGTATACGCATCTCTCGGACCCCAATCAGGTAGTCGACAACAACCGGCCGACGCCAACTGTT